ACAGGGCGGCACAATCAGTTGGCTCAGATTACATCCAAACTATACTGGAGCTGCCTTATTGCAGTTGTGGAATTGCCACTGGTGAGCAGAGTCAAGGTCATTCGGGTGCCGGGTCACAGTAGACATGCAGGTAACGAGATTTCAAATGGTTTCTCGCGGAAGGCATCTGGGGCTGACTTTGTGCAGCCGCTACCTGTCTGTGGTCAGCCTTCTTTCGCCGCGGGAGCCAGGTTTCAAAGGGTGTCGTCATGCTAAGGTCTTTCTTCCAGCGTGCTCCTGGGGGTTGACCGCACAGTTGTTGGGATAAACAGTGAAGTATCACCTGCATATGCTGGCGAAGTCGGGCTTCCCCCTGTAGATTTTGTGGGTACGGTGACGAAACCGCTGTGTAACTCTTTTGAACAGGGTTTCTTAAGCGATCGGGAACTGCTGTCCAAATCCCTTGGGGATATCTTCAGCTTTATATTTGTAACGGTGGATATTATAGGTGGAAGCGTGGGGAGACTACAATAAGTCAGAAATGGATACGGTACCCTGTTCGTTTTCCATAAAAATCTACAACCTGCAATCTAATATGAAATGTGCCTCATTTTAAAATGTACTCTTTTGGGAATAAAATTCTGTGTAAACTTGAACTTGCAAAGCGTCTAATAAAGAATTTATCCGAGCTGCCTTATTTAAACGCCTATTTTGTGAATGTCACGTTTTTGTTACATCTATTTTTTCACTTTACTTGAAATTACAATGTTTAGTACAAGTAGGTATTTAAAACTGCATAGATAACTATGCATTTCTGCATGGTGCACTTCATTAAGCCACTCAGAGAAGTTTAAATTTTTGATAATCAAAAGCGAATAATTTTTAAGTTGTAACTTTTAAATGAGCCATTAAATTTATTAAGAAAACTGAGTTGAAATAGAGTTAGAAAAATCCAAAAAAATTTAGATTTGGAAAAATTTCATACTCAAAAACAACCAAAACCGGAAACTAAAATTTTTTAATTTTTTTGTATCCTAGTTTTGTTTTTTTTTTTCGCGAAAATTTATAAACTAGTCTTCCGTACCATTTTGTACCAAGGATATTGAAAAATATAAAAAAATCTGATTATGATTTGGTGATATTTTTTCATTTCATTGCTTTACTTTTCCTTTTTAGGTTGTTCGACTACAGAAACATACAAGAAATTCAAGGATTAAATAAAGGATACTATACCAAATGTTAAAAACTTTATGTTCAAATACGTACCATAGATACTAAAAAACACCAAATTTGAAACAGTTACATTGTCATGAACCGTCAAAAAGATATTTCATGTATTTTTTTTTAAAGTATAGTTTTCATTTTAACGTGTGAAATTTAGTTATACTTTGTACTCAATGTACAAAATTTTTGCATTATCCCGTGAATTGATTTTAATAGTAAAAATTCAATTGTAAAAAATGAATTTGGTTTATCAAAAGGAAGGTTTCGTCAGCAAGTTGATTGAAACAATAATAAATAATATATAAATTACACATTTGTCTATTTTTGAATTTCCGAATTCACTGAATATGTAGCACCTAAACTGGATACGAGTATATAGAACTGAATATGGAGAATATCATTTCATTAATTTCAAATGTTAATTTTATACACCCTTAAAAGGAACGCGCAGTAACTACAAATAAAAATCAAAAAATGCAAATGATTCCTGTCTGTACATTTGTCGCTATTTTTGTCGTACATCTTTATTGTATTTTATTTAATGTTAGTTGGTCCCTTTAAACTGGTTGTGTTTGAAGTTCTTTCCAACCATTTTCCTGTCAGTTATTTACTCTCTTATTTATTCGACCTGTAAACTGGCCACATTTGTTTAGTAAACTGGTGTATTATTTTTACATTTAGTACCCATAAATAATGTCCACAAATAAAACTTTTTGTTTATTTCTTATTTTCATTACCAGCAATAAAATATCAAACAATTTATTAAATAAAAGTTCATTAAAATTGAATACAATAAAATTTGATTGAGTTACTCTTCTAGTCGCAAAAAAGCAGCATTACAAAAAAAAATGACAGTGTTGTAGTCAGGGTGAACACAAAGGAAAAGGTTAATTTTTAATTTGTTTTCGTGTTATTTTAAAAATTTTCAATAATTGAAAAATTTACCTTTTTATTTTATGTATATATGTATATTTCAGTAAATCACAATAATTTTAGTGTTGATTCATATCGATGCATACAATGGTGTATAAGCATTTTGGGAACGAATTAAAAATCAATTTATTTCAATTCATTTTATGGCTCAATTTTGATTTAAATCAAAAACTCAAATTTTAATTTGAAAATTGAAATAACAAGTTGATTAAGTGAAATGATATTTTTATTTTCTCTGTTATTTAAATTTTATATTTGTTTACATTAAATTTGCTAGTTTTTGCCTAAAAAATAATGTTACGAGTACATTTAAGGAATTTAGATAAAAAATATTCGTGGATTTTTTTAGGTTAAGAAGGAATATCAATAGATTTTCTTGTAATCTTTAGAAGCTGCCAAAAAATCAGGCTTTCGCAGTTCACCTTCTAAAAAAATCATATTAAGTCCAAAAATTGAATTTTTAAAGATATTTGAGGAGGCCTAACTCTTAGAAGGGGGGAAGTTAGAAATTTTCTTCCTAAAATATGAGTTTCTCGTAAAAGTCCCACTGTACCTAAAATTTTAGTTGAACCGTTGACGCATGATATGTTGTTACCCATATATATATTTTGATCCAATTTTTTAAAAAATATACTAGAAAATATGTATTAGTATTAGTATTAGTGTTAATATTATTATAGAGTATATTGTAGAGGTCATGGCAAGATATAATACAATTTATGTGTCCACACAAATGTAAAATGCTTTACAAATAGTATTTCAATGTCACGTATACATACATATCCATACTTAATATGCAAATATTCTCGTCCTTCTTTTATTAATCTAATTTTATTAAACGCGTTTAATGTTTTTTGTATGCAAATTTAATGCAATTTAAATTGATTTTAATAAATTTTATAAATTTGAATATTTTACACTTATTTAGATATTGCAACTTGTAAACACACCTAATCACATTGTTTAGTTGTTTTAATGAAAAAAAAGTCACTGCTTTGAATTTTTATTATTTTTCATTGACCCTGTTATATGAAAATTATTATGTAAATATGAAATTTACCTCAGCTAAATATGTATAATAATTATGTAAAATTTACCTCAGCTTGTATATGCACATACGTGTTTACAATAAAATTATATGTCAAGAAGAAAGTGCATTCGTGATATGAAGTCAATTTTAATTCAAACAAATCGAACTTTTTATACCCGTACGAACGTATGTTCGAAGGATATACTAAATTTGCCTTACCGTTTGTAACGCTGAAAAATAACGGTCTTAGATATAGACTCAAGTGAATGTTTTTGATCAGCGTCGAATTCTGGGTTGATTTAGCTTTGTCTGTCCGTCCGTCCGTCCCAACGACAACTCAAAAACTAATTGAGCTTAGTTCACAAAATTTTCACAAATGATTTATTGTAGTGAGTGCCAGAACCCTATTTAAATTGGACATGATCGGGGTACCGGTTCGGCCATACAACTTCAAAATTTATTTGGCTATATCTCAGAAACTATAAAAGCTGTGGTATTGAAATTTCGCACAAACGAATATATTAGTAGGGCTAATGTGTCTGATAAAAGTAGTTGAAATTAGTTGGCTCCTTCTGGTACCTGCCATACAACTTCAAAAGTTATTTGGCCGTATCTCAGAAACTATAAAAGCTGTAATACTGATATATTACACAAGCGAATGTATTAGTAGGGTCGATGTGCTTTATAAAATTCGTTAAAATTTCTTGGCTCTTTCTGGTAGCTGCCGTACAACTTCAATAGTTGTTTGGAACACACAGTATTTTGAAAAACACAGTACTAAAATTTTGCATAAATTAATATGGTAATACGGCAGCTTAAAGTCATTGTCTGTCCCATAGTCAGTTATGGCTTATTTATTCGCACATAGGATAACAAATTCGTACAGGTATCACAGAGCTGACAAGGTCAACTCTATTTTTTCTCGTTTTTTTTGTTTTTTTTAGAAAGTTGGAACCGGTGGCCCCTCTCATCTCAAGCTATTCTGGCAGTGCGAATTTCAGTATTACATCCGTCCAGATTCGTGAAATCTCAGCGGATGTAATACAAATTAGTCGAACTACAGCCTTACACGCGCATAGCAGATGTTCCGCAAACTCAGCCTCTTCCAAGCAAAGGTGACATAGCTCATTCTGCATTTTGCCCACCTTTTTCAGATGAGTCATGGTTAGACAATGTCCAATGAGTATCCCAACCACCATATCGAACTTATGTGAATGGTGAAATGTTCCTATATGTTACAATATTCTTAATTAGATTTTCTTATTCAGAACTTTAGGGCCACAGCAAATTTTAGCCAGGTTCACTGTTTTATGAGAGTTTAATGCGTGTACATAAGCGTCCTCAAAACTCTGATCAAATGAAATTAATCAATAATTGCTGCTTAAATCCTGTCTTGAAAATTTTCCTCTCCTCCGATCTGCACTTGTACTAGTTTATTAATATATATGTTCAGTGCTTCAGTGTTGTGTGTAAAAAATTTGATTAATAAGTAAATTTTGTATTTTAATTATTCTTCACTTTATTGAGATCATTTAAGTTTTAAATGTCATTTTGAAAGTTTTTTGTTTAATTTTTTAGTCAAAAATATTATTTATACTTTATTTTCTAAATACATGCATGTAGTTTTGTTTATAGAAGCACTTTTAAAATAAATTTTAAATTTTCGGCACATTTTTTATCGAAAATGGTTAAGTTTGCTAAAGAGAAAGGTTTTTTGGAGGAAAAAGTAATTTAATACATATTGTTGCTATATGAAATTTGTAAAATGGAAAATAATGTTTAATTGTTTTTAATTTTTATTTTTCTTTATTGTGGCACATTTTTGATTGAACAGCCATCATTTTGTAATTTTCCAAGAAAAAAATTTCGAAAAATAGACATGGTTGCCGGATTTGAACAACGACCATGGACTCCAACGGTAAAAAGAGGAAAAATTGCAGCAGAAATGACAACACCTGGTCCAAATTGTGTTTTGCTTCCAACATTAGTTGGTAAGTTGATAATTTTTTTTTGGTATTGGGCACATGTACAATGTTGGTATACACAAGTACCAACATTATTAAATTTACACACAACACAGTTCAGATGCGCACAAAAAGATGTAGTTTTAACGTTTGTTTAACACTTTTTTAAGTGAATTGAAAAAAGATTCATTTGTTTACACTTTAGAAATTTATTACTCTTTATGTATTGGTATTGGTCTAAGTCTAAGAAAAATAAAGACGTGCGAGCCCAAAAAGAATTATTTATGTAAATGTTGTTAGTTGAGTCGTGCAGGATAAATTTTTAACACCGTATAAACATTGAGCAGTATCTAACTTTTAAAAAATTTGTTTTTTTTTTTAGAAAAAATCAAATTTCGTAGATTCTACGTTGAAATAAGGTTTAATAGTGTACATTGAAATAAGAAATTTACAAAAATTTTTCTCAAAACTGCTTGAATACCTTGTCATTTTGTCCTTTCTCATGAATAATTTAAACAAATTTTTCGCAAATTAGCAAAAATCGGAACAACGCGATAAGCTTAATTTATTTGAATTAAATGCTATCTTAATTCTTCTATCTATAACATTTTGGTCCACTTTGACCGCACCTGTTTATTTATGCTGTTAAAATTAAAAATGTTAATAAATTTGTTCAATGTTTTTCTCAGAATTGTAAAATTTGATTGATATATAGGAGAAATCAAGAAGTATTTCTTCAATTAAAACAAAATCGTAATTTTAGAAGTTTTCAAATTCACTTTCATTTTCTTACCATAAATTCTTGTGCTTGAAATATCTGATTATCCTTTTAACTGAATGTTTTTTAACAAAATATATAAAGTGAACGCCAAAATAAATATGGAACACATTTTGAACTATAACCACTTTTAAAATTGTAGCATTGAATTGGGTTTATTATATTCAATGATTATAATGTTGGTTATAAAGTAAAGATCCTTAACAACTTCAATTATTAAATTGAAATGGGATAATCGAAATTTTATGTTCGATTCTCATTTTTAAGTTTAAAAATTAAAATTAAACATTTAAACTACACATTATAAGTACGAGCGATATTGTTAACTCAAAACAGGATTTGTTAAATGTACATATAATATGAAACACATAATACAAACCATATACATACACATAAATCATATACATATACTGCGTTATAATAAAAGAAAAATGTTTTTTTTTTAATTACTTTTTAGGTAAAAAAGTTACAGATTCGAAGAAACAGGCAGCACCAGCATTTAGTTTTGGTCAACGTCATAAACAACCACCTGGTACTATTGGACCAGGACCAGCTCAATATAATATAACAGGTTTAGGAGCAAAAGGTAAAGATACACCACCAGCAATGTCATTACAAAGTAGACCAAAAGCAATGCGAAAATTTGAAACTCCAGCACCAGGAGAATATGAAGTTAAAGTAACTGCAGTTAAAGAATCAGCACCAAAATATACATTTGGTTTGAGGCCAAGTTCCGATAAAACGGGTATCTCACCAGGTAAATTATTTTTATTATTTTCTTCTGTAATTTTTTTATTTCAATATGGTGTACGACAGAGATTAAATACTTACTAAAAACAAAAAAAAAGAATTTTGTACTTTAATTTCTATTTTGTTTTTATATATTTTAACATTTTATAAATTTAAACACTTAAAATAATTCATAAAAATTTAGTCATGCAAACTTTTGATAGTAGATGACGTTGTAATGTTATTAATTACACTTTAATACTTCTATCGAATAAATATTACTTTTAAAAATTTTTCGGTTAATACGAATTTCCTGAGTTTTATGATTTCATTTTAAAATTATTTATCGATTGGGTTTGATCTGTGCTAATTTAAAGGTATTGGATATTTGTAAATTTCATATTTCGTTAAAAGAAAAAATTTAACATATTTAAATATCCAAACTTTTCGGAAATGCCTTGAAGATTGAAACTCATTCCTAAAACTGGAGCTGAAAAATACTTTCAATCAATGTATATTAAAGACGTGATGGCTCACCAATGATTTGATGGCATTTTTTCTTAGACAATAAAAAAAAATTCGAATATAAAACTTCATTTTTTCACAACAGTGAGATATTCGCGGTTATGAAGTAATTATTAAGAACTACTTGCTACTGAAATCATTTGGAATTAATGATTTATAATCAATGAGATCAGTGACACGGAATCCCAGTGCTATAAAACACATTACAAAATCTCAAGAAAAAATTTATTAATAACATATTGATAATAATAATTATATTAATAATTAATAATAACAATATTGCAATTAATAATAAAATAATAAATATTAAAAATCAGAAATTGTTATTTTAACATTATATAAAAAGAAAAACTTGCATGACTTAATTTTTATAATATCTTATTTAATTATTATTAAAAATTATAATATTATTAATTTTTCTTATTTATTTTTATACTAATCATTCTTGCAAATCATTATTAACATTGTATAATCATAACATACGCTTCATATGTATAATTTATAATATTCATCGTCATTGGAATTCATGGCTTAAATCATCTATAAAAAATAAAAAAAAACTCATTTTTTGTTGGGGCTCATTCATAACATGAAGAAGATAATGTAAATTACCAAAATATATTTGTATGTAATATAATATGTTGTATATTATTTTGTATGTTGAATGATGTTGGGATGAACTACTACTTGCACTACTATACTTTAGAAATATTAACTTTAAAATTTAATCATGTTATATGGTTAATTACTATGTTTATTATTGGAAAGAAATGGATTTTATAATTTCTGCATAAATCACCAGTTTGCATTTGTGGTAGGTTTTTTTTATCCTTTAAAATCATTACACACACACACAAAAAATTTTTTTCACTTATTCCATGTCTTTATTTTTATCAAATATTTTATATTGAGTTGCAATATTAAAAAACAAGAAACAGAGTTGTAAAAATGAAATTCATTTTATGATGTTATAAATTTTAAATTTCGTTTGAATCGCTTATCAGATTCGTATTCTTTGAATCGTGTTCTTTAATCAGCGTCGACTTCTGAGTCGATTTAGCTATGGCTGCCCTTCATTTTTGTCCGTCCATCATATTTACATTTAATAAAAATTTCTAGTCTCTAGCTTTTAAATAATTTCACTTTTCAGTACAATTAAACACCTTCTGAATAACTATGGGTATTGCAGTCGGAAGCTACTTCACATGACGATTTTGTAAGCGCATGTTTGAATTTATTTTATTTGAGTAACTATAATTTTGATTGTAGAGCCAAAATTTTATATAAGTACCAATGTTGCCATAATTGTACATACAGATAAAATTCGATTTTTAAACTCTGTTCCTTTAATCATTTCATTACTTTATTATTTTTGTTACAATGTTTTGTTGCGAATTACAAAAATTTTCTTATTTTACATAAATTTGAGAGTACATGTCAAAATTTATAACGTTATGTATATGTGTATGTACATACAATCTAAATTATTATTCTCGGATTTGTTGGTTTGTAAATTTTTAAATAGAATGAAAATGGCATAATGAATTTCATATTTGTGTTTATAATCATCGTGGTATCTAAGGTTTTAGTGAAATTTTGAGTATGGAATGTGTTTGATACTTTTTTTTTCAACTTATTTTATTTCACGTTATGGTTTTGAGTTTTGTTTTTAAATGCACTAAGTATGTAGTTGTAAATGAATTATGTTATACATACTTAATTTATTTTGTAATTTTGAAAAAAATTATATTCCAAAATTAAAATTGTGTATAAAAGTTCTGAAAAAAAAATGTAAAAAAAAATTAAGAATTGAAAAGTAAAAAATAGTTTTCTTTTTTAAAATTTTCTGTATTAAAATTTTATAGCGCCAAATAGTTATGCACCTGAAAAATACGATACAAAATATATGAAAGCAAAGTATTCCTTTGGTATAAAACCAAAAATTTTTATAGATAATCTACCAGGTAAATATTTTCAATGAAATTTTTGATGATTTAAAATCAAAACTAAACGAAAGAAGTAAATAATTAATATTTTCTCATCTAAGCTCCAAATTGTTACTATATTGAAAAAGTTAATATTAAAGAAAATTCACCAAAATATTCGTTTGGAATTAAACCGGTGTTAAAACCTCTAAGTACAAATCCAGGTAAATTAATTTTTTCTTTTAAATTTTTATATTTTTTTCCCCCGAATCTATTCAATGTTAAATATTGTATTTTTTATAGTTTTAAATGTTATTTTCGGATAGGTACACCCCTTACGAAATTTTATTGTAAATTGAAACTGTATTTTTGTTCTTTGTACTTACATGTATTTTTAATTCAAATTTTAGTGTTTAACTTAACAATTCAAATTTATATCGAAAGAAGTTTAAATTTATTGCAGATATGAAAGTTGAATATCATTTAAATAATATACGAATCTGATATAAAAATTTTATCAATTAATTTAAGTACATGTATGTGTTTGTGTGAAAATATAAATGTATGTAAATGCGTTATGAAATATTTGCATTTATGTTAGGGCTGACAAGAGAAATAAAAATCGTTTATTTCATTCGGGCACTGACACGAAATAGTAACTGTAAAAATACAAAAGCACTAATATTTTATTCTACATATACGAATTCGAAATAATTGTTTTTATATTACTTTTTAAAATGTTTTGCAAATTGCATAACGCTATGCCTTTTTAGTTTCGCCTTTAAAGAAAGTCTAAATTTGATTGTCAAAGATAACAAATTCAAAGCTATTGAAATTTTCAAATTAAATTTTAATCTAATACATTGTAGTAATTGCGCTCTGTTACATTATCTTTTATAACAAATAAGAACTCCTGCTTACATGGTCTAATGCGCTTAATTTACAAGATATAGACTAATAAAAAGGTTAAAAGAAATGAAGTGAGATTTTACAAATAGTGATTACAAAACAAAAAAAAAAATACTTTACAAAAATTCTATGCAAAACTAAAGAAATTATAATGTATACAACAAGTTAGCATGTTCAAAATAAATACCTAATAGATAATAATTTAGTTTCTTATTTAAAAATTCATTGTCCTTAAAAAACAATTTTGAATAATTCAAGGTGAAATCTAAATGATTCGTTGTTACTAATTTTTGTATAACAAAGTGTAGAAAATATTATTATTTAACATTAAATGTAATTCTAAAATGTAAAAGTTTTAATAATTCAATTAAAATTAATAATAATAAACTTTAAATTTAATTTAACAATTAATATTATTAAAATACATTTAAAACTAAATGAATTTGTAAAATTTTATTCAGAAATTTATTTTGAAATAATCTTTTTTTTTCGTCAAAAACAAAAATATTAAATTAAAAAAAAAACAAAAGCTCCCGCAGATTATTGTCCAGAAAATTCAAATTTAGATCATTCAGTATCATATTCATTTGGCTTGAAAACGATACCAGAGAGAAAAGACGAGACTCCAGGTTAGTTTTTTAAAAAATTAATTTGATTATTTTTTTCAAAATAATTCATTTATATATATATATATACATATATATATATGTATATACATGAATTATTGAATTATATGTTGTAATTTTGGTTCTATTTTTGTTTCAAATTTATTTTTTTATGCTATTTACTTTTTGTTTTTGTTAAAAGCACCCTCAACTTATATGCCCGAAAAGTATTCACATCATATTTCGCCTGCTTATTCATTTGGTGTAAAAGTCAATCATGTTAAACATAATGAAAATCCGGGTAAGCTTGTTTTTGTTTCTGTGCTTTATACTTTTGATTTTCACTTTTTAAATATTACATTCTCATTGTATCAATTAATCTTAAATTTTCAATTAATTTCGGAAATTTTGTGTTTATATTCAAAACGTAATTATTTAGATGTAAAATTTTGAAATTGAATTCTTAATTTTAGCGCTGGAGAAAAGCGAAGAGTTTAAATTTCCATTTAGTCATTTCTTGTAGTCTAATTTTTCGTAAAATTATTTAAATTGTTTCAGTTTTAACATTTCGTATGAAGTTGTTAATTCCCTCAACTTCTCATATTTGATATGTTAAAGCAGGTTAGTTTAGTATTTTAGTTTGATTGAAATTCAGTTGAAAGCTTCCATTTTGCTGAACAATCGCTTTTCAAATTTTTAAATAAAATATAATGAATTTGTATTATTTGAATGACCGAGCGATTCAGCTTCTTAACATTAATCATTTTGGAGTTAGTTTCAACGGTAATTAAAGGGAAAAAACATGACGTGTTTTTGGAAATACTCGTATATGTGCTAAAGTAAAGCCGGTAAATTTTGAAACACTGTTCTCACTAGTAAAATCGTTTAATAAGCAATAATTAATAATATAAATTTCAATATTTTTATTAAAAGCTTGAAATAATTATTTTGATTTTTTAAAAATTTAATATAATTTATATACATGTAAAGCACCTGGAGCATACGCACCAGAAAGAGTTCATCTCGATGGATCACCTATGTACAGTTTTGGTTTAAAAACAATTTATGAACACAAGTCTGAAACTCCCGGTAAATAATGGAAACAAAAAAAAATTTTTTACACAAATTAAATGCGTTTTTTTTAATTAATACATTTTTTTTCTCTGGCAATTTTAGCACCAGGCTACTATATGCCTGAGAATGCTAAATTAGCTAACGCTCCTGCTTATACTATTGGCAGCAAACATATTTATACTGTAACTTCAGAAACACCAGGTAAATTTTATTTATCATTATAAATTTAGTTTATCCAATAAAAAGCAATAAATTATTTATAAATTTGAAAATGTTTACAGCTCCAGGAGCTTATAAACCAGAAAACTGCCGATTAGATTCTTCACCAGCGTATACAATTACAAGTAGATCACATAAAGAAAAATTGGACACTACTCCAGGACCTGGTGCATACAAACCTGAAAAATTCAATTTAGATCATACACCAGCTTACAGCATAGCTGGCAGAAATGTTGTTGAAAAATCTAGTGATACTCCAGCTCCTGGAGTGTATTATCCTGAAAAATGTAAAATAGCCAATAGTCCGGCTTATACTATGGGGGCAAAAACTAACGTAACTAAAACATCTGATACTCCAGCGCCGGGTGCATATCGACCAGAAAGTTGTAAGTTGGACAAAAGTCCAGCGTACACGCTGGCAGGAAAAATAACAATAGAGAAATTTGTTGAGTCGCCAGCTCCTAGTGCGTATAGACCTGAAAATTGTAAAATAGATCATGCTCCAGCTTATACAATGGGAGCAAAACTTAATCTAGAAAAAGCAAGCGATACTCCAGCACCCGGAAAATACAAACCAGAAAACTATAAACTGGATAATACACCGGCTTATACTATTTCCGGAAGAAGAAATGTCGAAAAGCACAGCGATACTCCAGCGCCCGGAGCATATAAACCCGAAAAATATAATTCAGACCAAGGACCAGCGTACTCCATTGCTGGGAAAGTTAATTTCGAAAAGGCAAGTGAAACACCAGGTCCCAGTGCTTATAAACCAGAAAAATGTAACTTAGATCATGGGCCAGCTTACACGATGGGAGGAAAAGTAAATTTGGAGAAGCCTAGTGATACTCCCGCTCCAGGAACATATAAACCTGAAAAGTATAAACTGGATAACATGCCAGCTTACACTATTTCCGGAAGAACAAATGTCGAAAAGCACAGCGATACTCCAGCGCCAGGTGCATATAAACCCGAGAAATATAATTCTGACCAAGGACCCGCATATTCTATCGCTGGAAAGGTTAATTTAGAAAAACCGAATGACACACCAGGTCCCAGTGCTTATAAACCAGAAAAATATAACTTAGACCATGGTCCTGCTTATACGATGGGAGGAAAAGTAAATTTGGAGAAGCCTAGTGACACTCCTGCTCCCGGAACATATAAACCTGAAAAGTATAAACTGGATAACATGCCAGCTTACACTATTTCCGGAAGAACAAATATCGAAAAGCACAGCGATACTCCAGCGCCAGGTGCATATAAACCCGAGAAATATAATTCTGACCAAGGACCCGCATATTCTATCGCTGGAAAGGTTAATTTAGAAAAACCGAATGACACACCAGGTCCCAGTGCTTATAAACCAGAAAAATATAACTTAGACCATGGTCCTGCTTATACAATGGGAGGAAAAGTAAATTTGGAGAAGCCTAGTGACACTCCGGCTCCCGGAACATATAAACCTGAAAAGTATAAACTGGACAACATGCCAGCTTACACTATTTCCGGAAGAACAAATGTCGAAAAGCACAGCGATACTCCAGCGCCAGGTGCATATAAACCCGAGAAATATAATTCCGACCAAGGGCCCGCATATTCTATCGCTGGAAAGGTTAATTTAGAAAAACCGAATGACACACCAGGTCCCAGTGCTTATAAACCAGAAAAATGTAACTTAGATTATGGGCCAGCTTACACGATGGGAGGAAAAGTAAATTTGGAAAAGCCTAGTGACACTCCGGCTCCAGGAGCATATAAACCTGAACAGTATAAACTGGATAACATGCCAGCTTACACTATTTCTGGAAGAACAAATGTCGAAAAGCACAGCGATACTCCAGCGCCAGGTGCATATAAACCCGAGAAATATAATTCCGATCAAGGACCCGCATATTCTATCGCCGGAAAGGTTAATTTAGAAAAACCGAATGACACACCGGGCCCCAGTGCTTATAAACCAGAAAAATATAATTTCGACCATGGTCCTGCTTATACAATGGGAGGAAAAGTAAATTTGGAGAAGCCTAGTGACACTCCAGCTCCGGGAGCATATAAACCTGAAAAGTATAAACTGGACAACATGCCAGCTTACACTATTTCCGGAAGAACAAATGTCGAAAAGCACAGTGATACTCCAGCGCCAGGTGCATATAAACCCGAGAAATATAATTCCGATCAAGGACCCGCATATTCTATTGCTGGAAAGGTTAATTTAGAAAAACCGAATGACACACCAGGCCCCAGTGCTTATAAACCAGAAAAATGTAACTTAGATCATGGGCCAGCTTACACCATTGGTGGAAAAATTAATTTAGAGAAGCCAAATGATACACCTGCTCCAGGAGCATACAAACCTGAAAAGTGCAATTTAGATCATGGGCCGGCTTATACTATTGGTGGAAAAGTTAATTTAGAAAAGCCGAGTGATACGCCTGCTCCAGGAGCGTATAAACCCGAAAAGTATAATTTGGATCATGGTCCTGCTTATACAATTGGTGGAAAAGTTAATTTAGAAAAGCCGAGTGATACGCCTGCTCCAGGAGCGTATAAACCCGAAATGTATAATTTGGATCATGGTCCTGCTTATACAATTGGTGGAAAAGTTAATTTAGAAAAGCCGAGTGATACACCTGCTCCAGGAGCGTATAAACCAGAAAATTGTAATTTAGATCATGGACCTGCCTATACCATTGCCGGAAAAGTTAATTTGGAAAAACCAAGTGATACACCTGCTCCAGGAGCTTATAAACCTGAAAAATGTAATTTAGATCATGGTCCTGCTTACACCATTGCTGGAAAAGTTAATTTGGAAAAGCCTAGTGATACACCTGCGCCCGGAGCATATAAACCCGAAAAGTATAATTTATATCATGGGCCTGCTTATACAATTGGTGGAAAAGTTAATTTAGAAAAGCCGAGCGATACACCTGCGCCGGGAGCGTATAAACCAGAGAAGTATAATTTGGATCATGGGCCTGCTTATACAATTGGTGGAAAAGTAAATTTAGAAAAGCCGAGTGATACACCTGCCCCAGGAGCTTATAAACCTGAAAAATGTAATTTAGATCATGGTCCTGCTTACACCATAGCTGGAAAAGTTAATTTGGAAAAGCCTAGTGATACACCTGCGCCCGGAGCATATAAACCCGAAAAATATAATTTAGATCATGGGCCTGCTTATACAATTGGTGGAAAAGTTAATTTAGAAAAGCCGAGTGATACACCTGCCCCAGGAGCTTATAAACCTGAAAAATGTAATTTAGATCATGGTCCTGCTTACACCATAGCTGGAAAAGTTAATTTGGAAAAGCCTAGTGATACACCTGCTCCCGGAGCATATAAACCAGAAAAATGTAATTTAGACCATGGACCTGCTTATACCATCGCTGGAAAAGTTAATTTGGAAAAACCTAGTGACACACCTGCTCCAGGAGCATATAAACCTGAAAAATGTAATCTAGATCATGGTCCTGCTTATACCATTGCTGGGAAGATTAATTTGGAAAAGCCTAGTAACACACCTGCACCGGGAGCATATAAACCTGAAAAATGTATTCTAGATCGTGGGCCTGCGTATACTATTGCTTCAAAAGTAAATTTGGAAAAACCTAGTGACACGCCAGCTCCAAGTGCTTACGAACCTGAAAAATGTAAATTAGACCATGCGCCAGCTTTTACAATGGGAGGTAAGCTTAATGTAGAAAAGGTAAGCGATACTCCAGCGCCTGGAGCTTATAAACCCGAAAAACATAGTTTAGATCATGCGCCAGCGTTTACAATGGGCGCCAAAATTAACGTAGAAAAATCGAATGATACACCAGCTCCAGGAGCGTATAGACCCGAACATCATAATTTAGATCGCGCTCCAGCATACACAATGGGTGGGAAGATTAATTTGCAAAAGCCCAGTGATACCCCAGCTCCAAGTGCGTATAAACCAGAGAATTGTAATTTAGATCATACGCCCGCTTTTACAATCGCAGGTAGAGTTAATGTAGAAAAATACAGTGACACTCCAGCACCTGGAGCTTATAAACCAGAAAAATGTAATTTAGACCATGGTCCAGCTTATACAATAGGTGGTAAAATTAATTTAGAGAAGTTAAATGATACACCAGCTCCAGGAGCATATAGACCAGAAAATTGTAAACTGGATTCTACACCAGCATTTACCATGTCTGGCCGAACATTAATTGAAAGATATAGTGAAACACCTGCACCTGGATCATATAGACCCGAATACTCTACAATTGAACGCTCAAAAGGTTTTACTTTCGGTATTAAAACAAATTTAGAAAAGCCAAACACAAATCCAGGTAGGTCAATGCTGTTTATTTTAGTATATTTTTGTGTTTTTTTTTTGTTTGTATGATTTTATTATTACATTTATGCATTATTATACTATTTTTGTTACATACATATAGTAAAGAGTGTTGTATTTTTATGCTTCAGCACCAGATAGTTATCACCTTGAGAACATTGATTTAGATAATTCACCAGCATTCACATTTGGTGTTAAAACGAATCCTTTAATGCTTTCCAATTCACCAGGTTATTATCATTTTTTGTGTTTACATAAAAATTACATAAAAATATGTGTTTCATTTTTTTTTTGTTGACTTTATGTTAGTATTTTTTGTTTGTATATAGCTTTTGCAATTTAGATTTGTCAAATAATTATTGCATTATTTGTGCATGTAAATATTTATATCAAATTGTTGAATTTTAAATATTATCGTATATTCTTTTTTCGTTTTTATTGGTTCTTCTTTGTTTTTTAATATTTAATAATGTTAATATAATGAACAGCACCTGGAACGTATAGTCCAGAAAAATGTCGCTTAGATCATTCACCAGCTTATACATTCGGTGTAAGGACTTCCAGGGAGCACACAGTTCTAAATGGTTTTTCAAGTAAGTTTCAATTTATAGACCAAAATTCATTTTTATTATCGAACTTTTCATCGAACTTATTTTTTTGCATTCTATTTCATTTATTTTAAATTTCTGGGTTTTTGGTTTATTTTTTATTCTATCTTTTCTCACTTTTATTTATGTAGCTTCACCTCCCCAAGGTCCTTATGTAGAAGATAGAATTTTACAAAGGCGTGAAAAACGTCTAAATAGTCCAGGTAAGTATTTTTTTGCGTTATTTTTTTTTTTGTTCTTACGTCAATTTGTGTGAAATTTTTGTTATTAAAAATGTTAATTTTTTGTGTTAAAAAGCTTTCTGTTTCTTTTTTGTTTTAGTTCGACCAAAAGCTGTTACAACAGCTACCACTACAATTACCACCAGTAATAATACACAAAATCAAGAAAATTTTTCAACTACTTCTCAAGCTATTGAGAAAACTTCATACTCATATACAATTAAAACAAATAGCACTATAACACAAAATAAATCAAGGTAAAGCATTCAAACCAAAAAAGAAAATGTTTTATAGCTTTTAACTTAAATTTATTCATCTTTTACGTAACCATAAATAAATTCAATCAAATTAGAATCATTTATGTATAGTATATCATTTGTCATTTTCATCTCAGGCTATTCATTCAAACTTTTCGGATTATTGTTTATATCTTCATGTTAAATGAGCAACGAAAAAAAAAGATTTTTGTTTTGACTCTTAAAGATGGTTTAAATAAACAATAAACTTACATATTGCTTTTTATTTTAATAATTTATATTACAATTTTATAGCTCCAAACGTATATAAAATACCAACAATATTAGGCTCCAGTAAAGAAGGGAAAATTCGTTCAGCACCGTCATTTACAATAACTGGACGTAATAAAATAAAACCACCATCAATACATGCATTTCCTGGACCCGGAACATATGATGGTAATTTTGAAGCATTACAAAGGAAACCTCCAATGTATTCTATGGGTGCTCGGATAGGATTACGTGACTACAATATGACACCAGGTCCAGGAGCACATTGTCCAGAAAGGGTAAAATGAATTTTTGTTTAAAATTCCTCCAATTCTTTTTAACACATTTTTGATTTTTTTTTTTTATTATTCAATATTTATTCAATAATATATGGAAATTTGTAACTATTTAAGGTGAGAATTAATAAGAATTTTGCTCCAGCATCAACATTTTCAATACAGCATAGCAAATATATAGCTTATCCAAAAGCACATTTAATACCAGATCATTTACTAAATGTTCATAAAAATTTTTTTTTTAAATTTTAATGAATGAATGTTGAAACGAAATTAAATTATTTGAAATTATTTCGATATTATTTTCAATTTCTTATCAACTTTATTTATAGCTATCCAACAAGGAAATATAAATATGCAAATAAAATAAAACAATTTTATAGAACAATAATATCAGAAAACTGGGAATAAATTAAAAGAATTCAAGAATTAATTTTTAATTCATATTTATTATCAATGGTTTTTGTCGAAATATTTACATAAAAGTAATTAAAACACGTCCAATTGCCAGTAATTACCATTCAGTATAATTGTTGGTCAGTTATACTAATATTAACATAATTTCTACTATATTTCGTTATTGTCATTATTCCTATCCTGTCGATCTTGCTTTAAAGCTTTTCATAAAAATTGAATTTTTTTGTGAAAATTAATGCTTGGTCTTCATACGATAAGAAAACAATAAAAAAGTAATTTATCCAAAAAAAAAGAAAATTGAAATAAAGAAAAAAAATATTTGCAAAAAATAAAAATAAGAAAAATTTCAGTCAAATTCAAGTATCAATTTCTAATACACGCACGTTTTCAAAACTTTCATAAGAATATGTCAAGAAAACAAGGAGAGTTTAGGAAAACGAAAATGAATCGAAATTCCTAAGTGAGTTTTGAGTGAATCGAAATTTCCAAAATGAATCGAAAAATTGCATTGCAGACCATTCTTACGAAATGTTTAAATAACCGTTGCTGTGAAATGATTTCTTTCTCGTTCGCACAATACTCGTAGATAATTATGGACTTTTATTTTTATAAATAAATGTTGTTTGTTAATTTGAAAAGATTTTCAATATTTTCTTATTTTCAAATTTAATATTAATAAGCAGTTATTAACAATATTCTTTTTGTATTGTTTTATTATAATTTTAGATAAATCTAGCGCATGTTCCATCATACAGTTTTGGTATTAAACATTCACAATATTTAGGAAGTATTCATGAATATCAACCGAATTTATTTTAAAAATAATAATGTATATGTAAACATATTGTATATGTATAACATAAGTACATTATTTAATTTTATTTAAAATTTAGCAAAAAATTTAAAAATAATGTTTAATTTTCCCTCATTTTACTGTTGCAATATTTTTTTTTTATATATTTGTAATGTTAATGTTAAGTTTTTAATAAAATTAAAGTTTTCTTTTATTTAAAAGTAAAAAATTAATATTCGTATTGAGAAAATATGAAATATAAATGTAAGCGAAAATACACAATAATCTTCCATAATATTTAATTTTTAAATTAAACAAAAAATATAAATTTTAATAAGATTTTAATTAATAATTATTTAAAAAGTATTTTAACACTTAATTTTATTTATTATATTGTTTCTCATAATACGTTTTTCTAATTGTATAATAAAGAAAAAATAATAATATTTAAACACACGAAAAGGGAATTTTTCTATATTCCCCCGATAATTTTGACAATTTTTTAATTTTATTTTTTACGATTATAAATTTATTTTGCTCAATAATTTTTTATATTTTTCTTAAGTTAATTATTGAAATTAATAAAAAATATTTAAAAAAATTTTCATAACGAAATTGTTAATTTGAGCACAATTTAATAAAATAAATTTTTAAAATTAAATAAGGAAAAAACAAAACTAATTAAAATGTATTAAAAAATTTAAAAATAGAAAAAGTGTAATAAATTTTATATGCAAATGTTAAAAATAAATATTTTTTTAATATAATTTTACAATGTAGGACATTTCTCAGTATTTTTTGTCAAACGCATGTAATTGACCTTATACAGTTATGAATTTCTTGGTGCAATGACGTGAGGGTCATATAACGCAATATGCTCATTTTAATTCATTTTTTTCATTTTTTTTAAAGATAAATGTATGAATAATTCACGAAATTCTAATATAATTAGAATGTTAGTATCTTATTGTATATAGATATGTTAGTATGTTGTTTCGAATTATATGATTGACGTAATTGTCAAATATTCCACGTGTTTGGGAAATGCCCGTATTTATGATAATTACGTAATTTGGAAATAATATCTTTAAATTCTATATATAAAATAAATTCTGCTCTTTTATGTTAAATATATCAATTTAAACTATGTCGAATTTCTATATGTGTTTCATATAATGTAGTGTTATAAGAAGAAAGCGAAAGTAGAGAAATTATTAAAAAAAATTAAGTTATAATCGAATTAAGCATACAGTTACTAAGGATTTCTCTTGAAAAATTTGAAATACTTTTTTCAAAAAAACAAAACTTAACTTAAATTATTTCCATTATATGCAGTAAAACTATTTTGAGTAAAAAAAAAATTTTCATTGCATACATTTCGGATAACCCAGAAAAAAAAATAATGAAAGCTTTGAACACATGAATTTTTTAAAATCTCAATTTGTTAAAATTTTGTAATACATTGAAATTACTATTGCTGTTGTTATGGCCTTACAGTTAGAGGAGTATTTCAGCTATCATATGCCTAGAAATAAAAAAAAAACGAGAAAAAATAGAGTTGACCCTGTCAACTCTGTGATACCCGTACGAATTGTCCTATGTGCAAATAAATATGCCATAACTGACTATGTGAAAGACTATGACTTTATCTTGTCTTATTACCATAGTAATTTATGCAAAATTTTAGTACTGTGTTTTTCAAAATGCTATGTGTGCCAAACTACTATTGAAGTTATATGGAAATTACCAGAAAAAGCCAAGAAATTTGAACGAATTTTATCAAACACATCGGCCCTACTAATATATTCGTTTGCGTGAAATTTCAATACCATAGGTTTTATAATTTCTGAGATATAGCCAAATAAATTTTGAAGTTGTATGGCAGCTAGCCGAACCGGCACCTCAATCATGTTCAATTTAAATAGGGTTCTGACACTTAATACAATAAATCATTTGTGAAAATTTTGTGAACTTAGCTCAATTAGTTTTTGAGTTATCGTTGGGACGGGCGGACAGAGAAAGCTAAATCAACTCAGAATTTGACGCTGATCAAAAACATACACTTGAGTCTATATCTAAGACCGTTATTTCTTAGCGTTACAAACGGTAAGGCAAATTTAGTATACCCTTCGAACATACGTTCGTACGGGTATAAAAACACAATGGTCGAATTCAATAGCCAAGTACGTGAGTTAAAATAAAAAATATTTTTCTAGTTATAGCGAAAAATCTACTGTTACTTTTTTAAATTTCCGGAATTATGAGATGTCGAAAGTTCAAAATTTTTTTTAATTTTAGGAATCGTTTATTTATAATGTATTTTTATTTTGTAGCATTAAAATAAACTGTTTATTAACTTCTAAATATGAAAGTATAGTTTAAATATTAAACACTCAAAACTAATCAAGTAACAGAAAAATTAGGTGGAAAATTTAAAAAATATCTATTTTTGCGTCATCTGTTGTTGATTTTCCATGGAAATGATCTTAGAGAATTACTATATGGTAGTAGTATTACTTGGGCTACTTAAATAGTTGCCCCCTAAATTTAGGGAACTTCTTTTTTCTTTCATATTAATATTTTTGTAATATTCCGTTGTTACGAGAATTTGAGAGAAATAAATACTATAATGAATTTTAAAATTTTACCACTTTTTAGAGCTTTTCCAAAAATTTTTTGAAAAAAAGTGCTTATTAGTTTCCCTCTGTCCGTCCGTCCGTCCGTCCGTCCGTCTTTTTTTTTTTACAAAACTTCTACACTCTTGAATATAGAAAGCTGAAATTTAATACGTACATAGATCTTTACTAGAAACTTACTTTGGGAGAACAAAATTTTTACCTATCTCCCCCCCTCTAGAAGTTATACCCCCCAAAACACTAAAAATGGTCTTTTTTAACTATTTGTTGCAATGAAACCATAAGCATTTTTGAAATTCTGCAAACGCATAAAGGCAGCGGCTTGCTTCCCCTAGCGCGGTATACTATAGCTAAACTTTAGAAAAACAAAATGGCCGTTCAAATTTACCGTTATCTAAAGTCTTTTTTTTTGCAAATTTTTGATTTCGTTTTTCTTCTAGACCCTAGCCTGTAGAAGCTTGAAATTTTAGGGGCTTTTAGATATTAATAAAGTTGGGTCAAACCAATGGTTTGTATTGTAGCACTTTTCCCTTCAACAAGTGAAAATTCTGCTTTTAAATACAGTCTATGTATACCTATCACAAATATGTCTATGTATACCTATGGAAATAAGTTTCTAGTAAAGATCTATGTACATACAAAATTTCAGCTTTCTATCTTCAAGGGTGTAAAAGTTTTGTAAACAGACACACGGACAGACGAACGGACGGACAGAGTGAAACTAATAATCACTTTTTTTTCAAAAAATTTTTGGAAAAGTGCTAAAAATTAGTTCATTTTGTTAGAAGAAAATTTTTTTCCATCTCCACCGCTTCTCAAGTTATCGCCTCTTGAAATTTGTAAATTTTGAATTTTTGACATCCTATATTTCCGAAACTTTTTCAAATTTCTATAAACGCAAAAAGCTAACGGTAAATTCCATGACATTAAAAAATATAATTATTTTTCTTAATTCACACAATTAAACCTTAAAATCGAGCATTATGTTAACCCCACTTTATATTAATTTTTGTTTTATTTCAAAGACTACATAAATCGTTCATCCTATATATATGCAATCCTAGAAATAGTTTCGTATATGAATGAAAATAATTTTAATAGTGTGATAGGTATACATAGACTGTATTTAAAAGCAGAGTATTGTAGCACTTTTCCCTTCACTTGTTGAAGGGAAAAGTGCTACAATACAAACCATTGGTTTGACCCAACTTTATTGAAAAAACTTTCACTATCGACTCTAAAAAGGTACATAATGCAGTATAATGTAGTTTTACCGTTATGCAATGTCATATACCTACACATATTAGAAAACGATAAATTCGCTTACTCAAAAAGGAAGTATAGAACCTTATGAAAGTCGTGGAAGTACAGAATATATACCTATATAATTTTTTATCTACTGAATTTTAATAATGCTTATAACCTATAGGAAAAATTTATAGTAAAATCCCTAAAAAATTTATTCTATTGCCACACTACTAAAAATACTATGAATTTCTTGAATATAATTTGATGTTTTCTGTTATATTTCTTTCTTTTATACGCTTCCATTTTAATTTAATTTATAATATATATATATATGTGTATATTTAATTATTATAATTTATGATTGACCTTTAGCAAAAAGAACTTTATTTTTATTTTAGGTCCAATGATTTCCGTATAATAAAGATTTATCAACATTAAAAAACATTAAAATAAAAAATTATGGCTCGTTAAGTAATTTTTCAGCTACATAGAACTATCATAATGAAAAATTTTAATTGCTAGAGTCTAGAAAAGTTTCGAATTCAAATGAGATGAAAACAAAAGAAATTTATATATATATATATATAAATATACATGAACACATTAAATTATTAATAATTAACATTATCGTGTCAAATTTAATTATATATTGAGTTTTCAATCCCATGTGATAATTATACTAAAACTAAATTATAATTATAATTTAGTTGTAATAATATCAGTTATAATAAAAATGTAAAAGCTTGTTTAAGCATCTTTACAACAATATTATGTCATCCAAAATGCAATGCGGGAAATGATAACCACAAAACAAACTTAATTTTATTTTCTATTTCTTGCTCTTCATTATGAACTTGTAATAGCAGTGTCTGAGGAATGATTCATGAAGAGAATTTTGACATGATTTGACTATGACCAATTTAATGGTATTGTCTTGATTTGATTGAAATGCAATGAAATTTAGAGTTTGAACCAAAGCACACTTTATTTCATTAGCATTTGATTCAATTTTCACTATCTAAATTTAATTAAACAATTTTAATTTTTGAATATTTTGTAATGTCTTAATCTTGTCTTACACTAACTTGAATCAATCCAATAAAAAATATCACATCTGTTACGAGTATATGACTTACCGTTTTAATTTTTACCAGAATTCAGACAGGAGTGATTTCAAACTCGGATCACACATATAAAAATATTTGACATATTGAAGTAACTACTTTCAATAAACTTATTCGAAATTGAAAAGTATAAAATAAGCTCGAAACACGTTATATAGCACCATTTATGACATAAATGTACTAAATCGAATATATGTGGTTTTTTAGGATTCAAAATCATAAAAAATTTCAAAATCCTTCTGAAATTTTAAAATGTTTTTATACAATGGTTCTTTGTTCGGTTAACAGATTGAATTGAAATAAGTGTCAATGTATAAAATGTGATAAAACAAGTTCACAATTTTATCATTTGAAATCTTTTTGAATTTTTCTTTCCTTTTACATTTAATTACACTCAAAAAATGTAATTTTCTATTTACCTTTGATAATTTTTTTCAGAATAATATTTTCTCAATCTTAAATAATAATTCTGTAATTCTATAAAAATTCTATTAATCTAATTAGAATTATTCTATTTCTTTCTATTTTATGGAATATAATGTATAAAAATGAATTTAATCTAATACACTGAGAGAAAAATAAATTGAAAAATAAAAATTTTACAAATTAATTTCAATTTTTTTTTTGAAAATATTTTTATGTTAAGTAAGAAAAATATTAAATGTAAATTTAATTACACAATATGTAAATTTAAATATCAGTACATTTTGTAATTACAATTTAATTCTATACCTAAACGACATCTATATGTATGACTTATATTCAATTATATAATGACCATGTTAATGATAAAAATAAATTATAAAATCAAATCTGTGTCGCATCTAAACTTCAATAATATTTTATAATTATAGATAGATAGTAGAATTCATAAAGTTTTTCCGGATCAATTATTATAATAATTTGATACTAAAAAATTTGATGAGCTGGTTATCATTTTTAGATCAATGTATATATAAAACATGGTATTTTTTCTTTTGAACAACAGTTATTTGAAATAAAACATTTTAAATTTGAAACTCTTACAAATCACGCAAAACTCGCGGAACTAGAAAATTTTTAAATTATTAAAATGAAATCCACAATAATTTTTCTTCTTTCAGTTTTCGTTGAAATTTCGTTCGCTTGTGTAAGTAATTTTTTAGTTTTGCACATCTAATTTCATTGCCTGGTAATAAGGACTCTTTTATAAATAAAATAAAGTGATTAATTTGGAAGGATATTACAAAAAAAAATTATTATTTTTTTTTTTTGTTTAGAACGGATACAAATTAAAAATAAATAAAATTGAAAATTGTGCTGGTGATAATCAGATAGTAACAATTGATGAAGGATTTTCTATGAAATTAAATAAAAAGTGTGAACTTGTACCATCCGGTTGTATAACACATAAGGCTTTTAATACAGCATTGGTAAATATAAAATTTATTTTATACTCAATGATTAAGTACTTAAGTGTTCATATATGCAATATGAATAGTATATGCAATAGCGTGTAGTACATACTTGAGTAAAAATATAAATTTTTTATAAAATTCAACAATAAAAATAACACAAATTTTTCAAAAAAAAAAAAAAACCATAAGGAAACCTTTAAAATTACAAAAGATGGCGTGGTTGTTAAGGAAGGTACTGTTGATGTATGTGATGCTGCAACACACGCCCAAGGTGAACATAAAAATATGATGAAGATGTTTTCATTACCAGAAAAATGTCCAGTTTCAGACGTAAATTATTTAATTTTTACTTGTAAAGTTTTATTTTAAATTTTACTTAATTCTATTATATACATATAAAGGGTAAAGTATGTTCAGATGATCGGAAATTAGATTTTTCCAAATTTAAAAATATGCTATCCTTGGCTCGTGGTCAAATTGATATTGAAAGTAATATTGATCATGATACTGTAAGTATTATTAATATTAATATAATTAATTTACCACTTCACCGTATTTAATTTTTACTTAAAAGTAACTTAATCAATTTTAATTTTCTTTTTTATATTTTTAGGGAAAATCTTGTTTTAAAATTGCAATGGAAATAACAAAATAATTTTTATATGTGGATAAAAATTGACTTTGTAGCGGTACTAAAATTGAATTGGACATGAAAAACTTTTACAATTATGTACTATTGTCCAAAATTAATTTACGTATACGTGTAATAAAGGGAAAATATCAATTATTATTTTATTTTTTATTTAAAGCTCCACATGCTCTATAATTCCATTTCGTTTTGGCAATTATCTACGACAAAAATTGTTACATTTAAAACTTTAAACATTTAAAAATTGTGATTTTTCTTTCCTAAATTTTATTATTATTATAAAACACGGTGGTAAAGAAAAACAATTAGAATTGCTCTATCTCTTCTAGTTTAGCCACAAATCTAGTTTAAAGTTTGTAAAAAAAAAAAAATTTCATCTCTCTTTTTAGGGGGTTTTCGTTTACGTACGCTGCGCTGAAAGTTCTACTAAAAGTTAAGCAGTATGCAAAAACTTCAGCTAATTTTTGCTTTGCGGTAGCGACAAAATTTAAACTAGAAGTCTGCGCTACATTTCTGACATTTCTTTATTAAAGATTGAGCGATCTGTATTTTTAGTATATGTAGCGTGAATTTTCGAACGTGCTACAAACTAGAACTATTCTAGAACTGAATAAACGAAAACCCCCTTAGCCACAAATCGAGTTTAAAATTTTGTAAAAAAAAAATTTTTTTAGTGATCACGAAAAACAATTTTTAGTGATTACGAATACTGTTGTAGAAGATTTTGAAAACGCTAATAACTATTGGTTAACATACATAGAATAAAAATGTTAATTTGGCTTTTGGCAGAGTTTTAGCGTAAATTCCCCGAAAAAATTTTCGATTAGTTACGGTAGCAAGCGATACTCCAGTGTTTAAATCAAAGAAATTTCGTTAATTATTTAGTTCCTTAGATATGGTAAAAATAATAAAATCGGCCAATAACAAGTCTAATTCACAAAACTTGATAAATCTGTGGCATAGCCAAAATAAATTAATACAGATCTAGTTATTTCTAAAAATAGTTTAATTTCGGTTTCTTACCATGATGAAAAATTTAATATTTACATAGCTTTTATGAGATTTGGTCCAGAGGGTTTTTTAAAAATTAAGCAATAAATTTCATTTAAATAAAACACCAATTAACTTAATAGCATTATTCATTCTTTAATTTATTTTTCATATAGTTACTTTTTATACATAGTTTATATATGATGTAGTATTTATATATACATATTTTTATATATATTTTGTATACATTTTAATATGCTTTTAATTTACCTATATTCGATAAAACATTTCACCCACTTGAATTTGTAAACTTTTTAATTATTAATTATTTCAAATTATTTTTATTTTCAAAATTTAGATTAATATAATAGTTTAAATTTTTATATAAACTATTTTTTATTATATACATACATATATATACATATACATATATATAGAATTTATTTATATAATTATATAATAGTTATTTAATTTTTATATACATAAGTATTTCAATAAGAAAATAAAACAAAATAAATTAATTATATATTATGTATAAAAAAAAAATAATTTTTGAAAAAAAAAAATGTTCGAAACATATAAAAGAATCATTAAAATATTCTAATTTTGAATTTATAACACAAAATAAATTTATTAATTAAATAATACTTCATTTTCAATTTTTAACTAAAAGAAAATACAATTTATTTTTGAAATGACAAAAATTTTTATATTAAAATTAATATTTAATATTATATTTTTTATTTATTTTAAAAATAATTCAAAAGTTTTTTTTTTTTTTAGAAATTCATTAATATTTTGATTATTTGAGAATGTTTAAGATTAGATAACCAAAACATTAATATAAAAATTTAATAGTATTTTAAGAAGAAAGATGAAGTTCGATAATTCACTTCTAAATTAGCTCTTAATATAAAGCATATTCAATAATAGCAAACGTGTTTTGTATTAGGAGCAGTATTCAAACTGAAAAATCAGCAGAAATTTAATTGTAAAGGAGTTTTTAATTTTTTTTTAATACTACTGCAAAAATATTATAAATTAGAAAAAGAGCATAATAGAAAAATATTCTATATTGAAGAATTACTCAAGTATATAAAATAAAAAAGTAAAATATTCAGATATGTTTGAAAGACATGTTTGAAAAGACTTTTTAGATTTAATTTAAAATTTTCAAAGAATGTCCCCAAAAATTTAAATGTAAGTACAAATTAATTATTAGACAATAAATTTAAGATTTATATTTATTTAGGGTCATTTTTAAAATAAATTTATTTTATATAATATTAAAAAAATCGAATAATTATATACATACATTTATGTTTACAATTATTTATAACATATCGTATAAATATAATGTAAAACTTAATAAATACAAAAGCATTTTAAATTTAGATGATTTTTTTTTATTTGTTTTTGCTTTTTTTTTTCTTGTTAATTCTTACAATAATTTTCATTTTATTTATTAAATCGTATAATATATATATATATATATATATATATATTTATATAATATGTATATATATAACCAATATAATATCGTTTTCTGGATGGATTAAATAATAAAATGGTCAGTTAAAATTTTCAATTAGAATAAAATTGCATATTATTACAAGATTATTTTAATTATTTGAATTATTTGAAAAAACAAAATATATTTAATTTAATTATTATATAATTTATAAATTAATATATTAACATTAAATTTTGTTTTTGTTCTTTTAAAAAAAAAAAAAAAATATACGCATATGAAAATAATGTAGATTAAATGATACATGCTAATTTAAGTCATTCTGTATATATAGTTTGTATAAAAATATAAATAAAAATAGGACATTAAATGTTTTATTATATATTATAAATATTATAAGATATTAAATAATGATAATGTCATGTATTTTTGTAAATTAAATTAAAAAATTATAGATAGCATTAGATTTAGCAATTGATTTTAAAATTGTTGATACAAATTTTAAATATATATATATATATATATATATATATATATATAATATATAAAAATTGTTTACATTAAAAAAATACTTTAATTTTTTTTTATAAATTAATCTGATATAAACCACAAAAATTTAAGTTAATGAAAAAAAAATTAGAATTAAAATGGAATAAGGTGGAACTACACAAATATAAGTTTGATATATAGAAAAAGTTTTATATTTTCTTTATTTGAAAAATTGAAAAAAAAAAATGAAATATTTAAGGGCATTCACTTGCATTTAACTGTACTCAATAAGGAAGCATCATTTAACAATAAACTACTATATACGATAGTTGCTTTAAAAATTAATTAAAAAGCTAATGCTAAAAATCATTGCAATACAAAATTACTATATTTTAATTATATTAATTTTATACAATTTTAATTTGATTTAATTTAGTTTATATTGACAAAAAGTAAGTAATTAATATTTAATTATACTCAGTATATTTTCTTCAGTTAAAAACTAATAGAATTATATATTGTATAGAATATAAAATAGGAGATAGTAAATTAATTTAATTTTTTTTGAATTGCAAGTTCAAAACAAAAATATATAACACATTTTTATATAATGGTTAAAAAAAAATACAATTGAAAGGAAAGTATCTTGGAACCAGCACAATAATTTTGGGCATCAGTATATAAATGAATTTTACATGAATATTTCAAAAATATATTCAAAAATTACAACTTAAATTATCATTATTTAATATTTTATAATTTAATTTTATAATTGAATTGTATTGGAATTATAGTTTATTTTAAATAATATTATACAGAATAGAATAAGAATACATATAATATTTATAAATAGACAATGTATATAATAATTACAATATATATCATATAATAATTATTTAAAAAAAAAAAATTATATCATTATCATAATTTTATAATAAATATAGTACAATAAGAATAAAAATGTTATTTTAAAATATAAAAAACATAAAAAATTTTTATATTTTTTGAAATTAGATATTATAATTACACTAAATACATTATTTATTTTTGTTATTATTTATAATTAATTAATTTTATTAAATTAATGTTATTTTTATTTTTGTTATTCAAATTCTTAAATTCTATTATTTTTCTTTTTCTATACATTTTTATACACATAATTTATGATTTTTGATGAATATGTTTTATATATATATATATATATATATATATATATTATTTTAATATAATGATTACGAATTTGTTTTTTCTCAGACTTAAAATAATTTTTTTATCAATTAAATCATAATTATTTTTTTAATATCTTTCTTATAACCTATTAGTGTTTTGAATATAAAAAAAAAACCATATAATATAAAAATTTAGTATAATATCATTAAAAACATTGCTACAATATAGTTTCATAATATAATTAATAAAATCAGAGGGAGGACATGATAATTAAATTAGGATTCTCAATTTATGTGGTGTATTATAAGAATATTTTGTTTTTAATAATTTATTAATTCAATTTAATTTTCGATGAAACCTCTGTAAATATTTTCTATATATAAATCAATGATAATTTGTTAATAAGGTATAAAACTCATCAATTAAATAAAATAAAAATATAAAATGGAAAAAATAAGAATGGAAAAAAATCATAAAAAATAATTTAAATTTTAATTTGGAAAATGATGTTATAATACAAAAAATTATTTTTCTTTCCTTGATCCTTCTTTGATGAATTAGACACCTTTATAACAAAAATCGTTTTTTTTTTATAAAAAATATTATACTTAATAATTACATTTTTTATGAAAAAATTATTTTAAATTATATTTAATTTTTCTTGTTTATTTAATTTATATAAAAATGTTATGAAAGAATAATAATGTTTATTTTTTTGTTTTGATAAAATATTTATTATGAAAATTGTAAGCGATTAAATAAAAAGCAAGTTATTTAAATTATTATAATTATTTATAATATATTAATATATTTATCAAATTAAATATAAATTTAAATTTAATTTTCAATCATCATTTATTCAAATGAGAAAGTTCCAAAATAAATATGAGTTTAATTTTATTGCTTTATTTAAAACTTAAAAATTATATAAAGGAAATATTTTCAATAATTTTATAATTGAATATTAATTAAGTGATTCAATTTGAATGTAATAATTACTATTTTTTATCCGAACTACAAACTGATTAAAATTATCAATTAAATCAATTGTCTGTAAGGTTTTCATTTAATGAAATATTATTTTATTTATTTAAAATAAGAAACTAATTTATGCTAAGAAATTCATAATTTTATGATTTTCGAATTTTTAGTGTTTCATCAAAAGCAATATTAGGTAGAACAGTAATTTTGGTCTTCTAAAAACACAAGATCTTGCGTTAACATTAAATTTTAATAAGTTTATTTTGATCCTTTGATCGCACTGATATAGAAAATTAATTTACATTTTACCTTTAATTGTACGTTTAATAACATAAGTCTGGGGGATTGGGAATTTTCGAAAATTCAGTTCTATAACAAAAGATCTTAATATTTAGAATGTTCAATAAAAAAATGTTCAAATATAACACATTTTTCATTACTAGAAAAATCTTCTCATGGCATGCCATAGAAATCTATATAATTTTGTAAATATTTTTAAAATTAAACAAAATTTATATGTAAAAATTATCATAAATTTTCAATTATTCAATGTAACAATAATGTTCAATGGTACTAATTATAGGAATTTATATTTAATTGATTAATATATAAATATATATGCAAATATAATTTAAATATTAGAACAATACTTTTACAAATTAAAAAAAAAATTAACTAAAAAAAATTTTCCTAAATAAGTAATAGCATTGTGTATAATAGTTTATAGTGAAGTACGGAAGACAATTTTTGTAAATACACAAGTGAACTAATTTTTTTGAAGTGGCGCTAGTACGTATAGGTAATGAGTTTTAGAATCGTTCGTTTGTGTAATTACAAAAATTGTCATCTATATATCACTAAAAACTATTAAAAACTATGATAATAGGTACATTGTACATATTTAAGATATATAGAGGAAACATTGCAGTAAAAGTATAGTTATAGCTTAAAATTCTTGAAATGTATAAAATATTATTATGTATAATAAGTATATTTCTTAAATTTAATACAGATACTTTCTAAATTATAAATTAAATATTTAATATTATAAAAATTTTTGTGAACTTTTAAATTGAATTTATTTATTTTTTTTTTTTTTTTTTTTTGTTCATATACAAATTCATGTTCAAATTTCATTTTCATTTCATTATATTTTATTTATGTATTTTGAAATAGTGGTCAAAGGTACTTGCATAAAATTAAGTTCTTTAATTGTTCCATAAAATATTTTTAACAATTTTTCCATAAATTTTTTTTTTATATATTTCAATTAATGGTTTGTCTTTTATCTGAATTTTAACAACTATTATAGCTTGATAATTGTGTAATATAGAATATAAAATGAAAAATGAAATATTGTACATGAAATTGTCGAATAAAATATATTTTCAAAAAATAAATTTATTTAAATTTTGACAAATTAAAGAATTTGTAAATTAATTTTTGGAAATTTATTTTATTCTAACACAATGAAGATTTTGTTTTGAATTTCATAATTTTGATGATTTTAATGTTCATATTTTAAATGAATTTTTAATGTCTTTTTTATTTTTGTTTTCGTTGTTTATCACAAATTTGAATTTGTCTGTCTGTCGCTTTCTTCTTCCTTTTTACATTTATTAGTTTTGTTTTTTTTTTTTATTTATTATATTAAATTGGCATTTAGTTTACTTTTTTTCTTTTCAATAAAATAATTATTAAATCTTAAAATATAAAATATCAAAAAAAAAAAAAAAAAATTACTCTAAAATTCATAATAAACTATGGCTATGTAATAAAATTAAATAATACAAAAAAAATTAAGATTTTTTATTTTTCGAATAAATATTTTGAGTGGAAATTTTTGAGTTTAATTTATTTGTGTTTTTTATGTTTTCAAAGTGGGTGGAAAATAAATGTTTTTCTTTTTCAATTTTTAAATTTTTCACTCAAATTGTTTAACTCAAATTCTTTCTAGCTATAAAAAAAATATTTTAAAATTTTTTGTTTTTTTTTTTTAATTTTTTTTTGATTTTTTGTAAAATTATTAAAATTTTTTTTTTTTACAAAATTTTTTTAAAATTTTTTTATTTAAAATTATAATTCTAAGAGTGTTTTTTTTTTTATTAAAATATAAATTATTCATCAATATCATTATCGATTCTCGAAGATCTAATACCAGTTTTACCGGTCCATGGATAGATATCGGGGCAAGGTTGACATGTTCTCATATATCTTACACCAGATTTATGCCAAAGATTACAGACTTTTGGATTATTGCATCTTTTTGGACGATCCTAAAATAAAAACGAAAATAAATTAAATGAAGAAATTTATGTGCACAACAAAAAATTGAAAATTGTTTTTGGAAACCTTATTAAAAAAATTTTATTTTTTATATGTACTTACCGAATAATCACATTGGAATGGTTGGAATTGATTTAATCTAGAAATTGGTGTAGGATGTCTAACCCATTGTATTGCCTGCCAATTTGTAATAATCCAAACATCATTCATAGAATTAATTGTATCTAAAAATTGAATGAAACCTTCCTTATGATGTGGTTGTGTAAACCAAGCAGCATGATAGAATAAACCGAATGGTGCCCTATAAAAAAAAAAAGGTTACACATTCATATATGCGCATATCAAAGCTTAAAAAATCTGAAAAAAATTTTTTTTTACCTATTTGTTGTATAATGACGTTCAAAATTTTTCATAATCATTTTATAAACACCTTCAGCATCAGCTGGATTTGAACATGCATCACCCATTGAACATCTTCCACCATTTAAATCTTGCCACATAACCATAGGAACTTCCCATACACCAGGATAACTTTTTGTTGGACATGGTGGTATCATACAATCATGGAAAATTTTATAATCTAATGTATATGGCCAACTTGGTGGACGATTTTCATAGACCGGCATCGATGAATCATATGTGAAATTTGAATCGTATAACATTTTAAACATTTTATTACCACCTATCGATAAAAATGGTGCTCTCATACCACGTATATCAGATTGTTTAACACCACCATATGCAGCTAATATTTCACGTTGTCCTGCAACTTCACGTGTCCATTTCTTTTGTGAAAATTGTTCACCAAAACTATGACTATTTTAGATTTTTATTTTTAATAAATATAAAATAAAATATAGAATTAGTTAATATTAAAGAATTTAATAAAAAAATAAGTTTTATATACTTAATGATTATTGCTTTTGTGTTATTTATTGTGCGTTAGTTAATTAGTATGTAATATTTAAAAATATATGAATATATATATATATATGACTATTCGTGTATTTAATAGAATATAACAATTAGTTAAGCATATTAAAATTGTTAATTATAGTTTAAATTATAATACAAATTATTTGGTTCATTAGTCTCCATTTATATAACAAGTAAGTTTGTACAGTCAGTGGTAATGCGTTTACGTAATATTTAATTCGAAATTCGGGAATATTTGGAATATTTTTCCAATTTGAATAAGAATTTTAATTGGGAACACGACCAAGATCTGATTGCTCACAATTTTTTTAAAATATTAACTACTTTCCGTATACATAGTAGCTAGTACGTTAATTCTGACTTTACTAATATTCTATTATAATAGGCATGTAAATTTTGCAAAACGATTCATGTATATAATTTTGAATTTTAAATTACGGTTATTATGACAGGACAAGGAAAAATATACATATGAGCTTGACAGCAATTGATGTGGAAGTTAAGGAATATTATTATAAAAATTTATTTTAGTGTATGTACATCCTTATATATAAAATAATTTGC